TGGGGTTCACTGTGTATTATGTGTGACAATGTAACTGGTAGCAGCACAAGCGCCACGTCTGCCCCAAACTAATTTCCTCACCAGTGATGATCTCCCGATAAGCTTGACCAGATGGCCAGGATCCCAGCTGTAATCCATGGATGATGGCTAATACTAAACACTCATTTCATCCCGTGTAATCAACCCTTCAGGACAAATTGAAGAGGAAAACCTGAAGCTCCTACCACAACAGACTATGGCCTCCAGAACACTGCTGCACTACAACCAACTATTTTAAGGAGTAGGTCGGCAGCAAGGTCGGCTGTGGTTGGCTGGTGTTCGGTGAGGTCGGCTGCTGTTCAGCTGCGACAGCCAAATATTTCAACATGTTTAAAACGTTCGCATGTGGACAGAGGTTCAGCTATGGTTGGCTGGTGTTGTGGAGTAGGTCAACAGTATTCAGGGCGTGTTCGGGGGTCATATTTGACTCAAATTGAACTTAAATTCGGTTCGATCAATTTAGAAAGGTAGCCTAAATATGGCCAGACTTCCGGAATTTCAGCCAAACTTGGCTGGCTGGTGGTCTGAATGTGTGGCAGGGGCTTTAGGGCCAGCTGCGCAAAGTAAGACAACTTCAGATGACTCGCATGCCAGAGGTAATCCGACATGAAAGTTACCGTGACACTTGGCCAGTGCGTAAGACTTTCCATCTTGATGTAATAATGCCCATGTCGATTTGATTAAACAAATGACGGTACAATTACAGATCATGAACATGGTCTTGAAACTTGGAAGGTTATACAATCTGCAGTGGCTTTTGGAACCGTCTCAAAGGTATGGGCATCGTGTCAAAACTTGTGGCCACCATGAAATCTTTCATGACACGTGCACATGCAGCAATGTTATCTGCCTTTCATCTGCCTTTATGAGCTTTGTTACCTGAGAAGGTAAGGTAAAACTACTTTGAAACATTACAGCAATACAGAAACCACTGTATACAGAAACTGGTCCACACTTCTTTCTGAAAGGTCAGTCATATGGAGGAATGGGTATTTACAGACTTGTATTTTTGTAAGTAACTATAAAACTTCATGATGTACATTTGTATCTTTACTTACCAGACACGGATGTAGACGTGGATGTTCCAGGGACGTCCTCCTCATCCACGGATGTCATCCCTCCAAACCGCTCGGATGCTGAGGGCACTTGTAACTGCTGACCCGCTGAAATGTTCGGGAACACTTCACTGGTGCCCGGAGGCGCAATGCTGGTCAGTCCAATCCAGTTTCTGTTGCTTTCATTGCCGTGTTCTGTACGTTCTTCGTCTACGTGTATTCGTTCTTCGGGAATCTCTTTGGCATCAGCGCCCTCCGAAGTCACTGCGATTCGGACCTCGGCGCCGACTGCACCACCATGGCCGCTTTCCTCCTCGCCGTCCTCGGAAGACGTCATTGTGGAAACGTCTGCCTCAACCCCTGGTAGTATCATGTTGGTGCCTCTCTCCCGTCCAGAGGGTGCTCGTATGACCGGCCGGAAGGCTGACATGTACCCCACGATGGGACTCCGTAGCGACGTGATAGTAGTGTTGGCCACCCCTATCTTCGGCAAGAACAGATCTGTACTCTGGGTGGTTGCAGCCGGACTTTCAAGGCTTTCGCTCCGAAAAGTCTGATTCCGTTCATTCGTGAGCACCGGGAGGCTAAATGGAGGAAAGTTGTAGTGGAAAAAGTTATCTAGCACGAATGGGTGCACGTTCTTACTCTGTGTGGAGGTTTTGTCGTGCATGCTGGAAACAGTGGAGGAACATATGGGGATGTGCGGTAGGTACTGTGGTCGGAGGAAGTACGGGGGAGAGAGGAACGCCTTGCTGCCGAAGGGAGGGACGGGGAAGGACGGGTCGAGGGGGAATGTCGGCATGCTCGGTTCTAATGGCATTTTCTGTTCCTGTTGGGATTTCTGCTTCTTGGCCTGAGACAGCGTGGCTGAGCTACACGCGTTGCTGAGGGCGCGTTTCCTGTTGCCGCCGTTGAACATGGCCTTGACGTCCTCCCAGGCGTACAGCAGGTCCTCTGGGGGCTTGTCGGCCGCCAGCTTCAGGTGACGCCGCCAAGCGTTGAAATTTGCTGCGTCGGGATGCTGCAAGGGCAAAGAGGAACATACTTTTGATGTACTTTAGTCCAATGGAAAAACATGTTTTGCACGTCTACCTTACAATCTCAATACAGAATGAAACTGTAATACATGTAATTGCAGACAAATGGTTCCGAAAAATTAACAATTAACAGCTTTTAAAGCTTCTGGGGATTGTGAACAAAGACATGTAATTTTGAACATTAATGTAACAACAGTTTTAACACCTCACACCGTTGCAAGTAATTGTAATGCCGAAGTTTGTGTTGATACAATGACATTCTCTGACAATATTGTACAAAACTCTGTGAGTCCGTTTACACCTATTTTTTAAGATATAAATAAACTATCCCTGTTTCTTAAATTTCTTTAAAGAACAGATAGGAGACATTTAAACGATGAATATAAAGCATGCAGCATACATCCCTATATGTTCGATTGTTTTGCTCACGATAGATTTAGTCTAGTGACACTTACAAGTTACAGCTTCAGTTGTTTGTTTCTCCAACTTCTCAGGAACGTTACAAGTAATGATCCTTTATGTAAACGTTTCACGTGAAGCTACTGCATTTAGCCTACATGGGCGTGCAAATAAAGATCATTCATTGTTTTGTTGTCCCACATTAGATGTTAAATAGCGAGTATTTACTTCTTCCCCGACCTTGTACTTGGAGTCGGGCATGCGGTGACAGTGGAAGATGAACTTGTTGGGGGAGAAGAAGATGTTACAGAAGACACACTTCACACACTTGGCCCGGGAACTGTTGTAGCGGGACGGGTAAAATCTGGAAAGAGAAGTACGTCTGATGCACAGTGTTGACCTTCATGTGGTCTACTTATCAAACTACTGCAAGGTTTATTCTTACTCAAGCACATTCATATACTAGTATATGGTGACCAGCCCCTCCAGTTCTGTCCTGCTACATAATGTAACTCAACGCCGCAGGGTGTCTGCTACAGCACCAGTTATCATGGTGACAGACATCTTGTCCGAGCAGAGAAGCGAAGGTAAAAAAAACAGCGAAGAAGTCTTTAAGAAGAGTACGGTGACATGTTTACGTTTGATTCCCCAAGAATCTCGAAACGAAACGTTTTTTTTAATTTCAGAATTCACAAATTCAAGCAGGCAGCGACACGTCAAATAAGACACCTATAAACATACAAGTAAGTGGGAAGGAATCATTCAATCACAAGATATCCGCAGATGTTGTTAAACCTTAGCAAATAAGCACGGCAGTGTAATGAACGGCTGCTGTTATCGTCCATGTACCTTAGCAGTGAAAATAAACAACGCATTTAGCGCGTGGACTAAATCAACAAACAGAGGTTTAAGACGTCAATTGGCTCTCATAGCGGCCTCGAGGCGTGTGCTCTGCTTCATTTATCTTGATGTGGCCAGAACTTTTGCCTGAGCGCGGTTGAAGGGGCACTAGTGATTTTGTGGGCTACTGTAGTCTACTAAGTTCTACCCCTTGCAAGTCTTTAACTAGCAATGACTCACTATAACACTTTATAAATGAAAACCAACCAACAGCACTTTTGGTCACACAAAGGCAACAGCTAGCATTTAAGATATATCTGAAATAGTCAGCTAGAAGTCACGAAACCAAAAACTCAGGAGCCAAGCTATTCGAACTCCAGCCAACCACAGCCGACCCTGTTCCCGATGTATGCCGAACCATGGCACCGTGACCATGGTTGGTTCGGCACTGTTCAGGAGGCCAAGGTGTGACAGGGACTTAAGAACAAAGCTGGTGTGTTACGCCGAATGGCGGTTATACCGTCTATACAGATACAGATACAATAGGTGAGAGGAAAAAACACAACGTCACCTTCCACGGCAGCCCCAGGAGCACTCGTGCGCCACCTCGAAGGCGAAGTTCTCGGGCAGCTTGGGCGGCGTGGTGTCGCCGAAGAAGGACTTGCAGAGCCGCTCGGCTTCCCGCTTGGTGATCATGCCGCAGCGGCGGGACGAGATGGGGCATGGCCCCGGCCCGCCGCAGCAGCTCCAGCTGGACGGGCGTGCACTGAACACAAGTGATGCCCAGGGCCACGCGACGGTTGTGGATCTCGTTATAACTGAAACTCTGAAGTACAAAATGTTTATCAACAAATGTTTATCAACCTGTACCCACAAAACAGTTGCGGATCTCTAATTACAATCTTGACATTACAATGAAATCTAATACATGTAAACAGTTTGTAATTGCATTATAAATATTGCTTTAGTCTGTCATGAAAAATCCATGTTCAGAGACCCTCATTTAGACAAAAACGTGCTTTTCTAGCTAGAAGTATCAGTGAAACGGTGCAAAAAGATGTTCATGAATTTAATGAACGGTTGGAATAAAGATTTCAAAGCCAACACGTTACCTTGAGTAAAGTATTAGAGATCTGCGCCAGACACAGCCGTTCTTTCCCCTCCATCATGAGCGAGATGATCGGAACTCCGCACAGAACCACGGAGCGCACCTACAAACATGTCATATGATGTTTACAGACACATATAAGGTACACAGTACCACGGAGCGCGCCTATAAACATGTCATATGATGTTTACAGACACATATAAGGTACACAGTACCACGGAGCGCGCCTATAAACATGTCATATGATGTTTACAGACACATATAAGGTACACAGTACCACGGAGCGCGCCTATAAACATGTCATATGATGTTTACAGACACAGGTACACACAGCTAGAACCGTGGATCGTACATTCAAACCTTCCCTCCGTTTTACTAGGTACACACAGAACCAATGTCTGCACCTACAAACAAAAATAAAATACGTGACAAAACCGCAGTCCAAACCTACAAACATTTCATATGTTTTTTTTTACTCGGTACACACAGAACCGCGGTCCAAACCTACAGCCATGTCGTTTTGCTAGGTACACACAGAACCACGGATAGCACCTAAAAACATGTCATAGGTTTTTACTAGGTACATACAGAACCACAGTCCGAACCTACAAACGTGTTTTTACATGACACAAGAACACGGTCAGCAGCTACAAACATTTGATACAGGTTTTACTGGGTACACACAGAAGCACGGACCGCACCTGCAAAGGTGTCATACGGATTTTCTGCAAGCACAAAGGATACCAAGTCGTACCTGGTTACTGTTTGGAAGCGTGGCCTTCATGGGGCTTGCCTCCGGTCCCGGCAGCGTCTCGGTGGCTCTCGGCACGCAGGAGAGGGTCGACCCGACCGCTGATCCCGCCAGGTCCGGTGGAGGGTCCGAGGAGGTGGGAGGGAGAGCCGTGTCCCCTACCAGAGGACTGTGGCAGTCGCCTTCCATCGACTACGTTCTCTCAACTACGCCATGGCAACAAATATTAAACAAATAAGTTTTCAAGTAGCTCTCAGAAAATAAAAACGTTACTTAAGACGTTGTGAAGAAAACTAGGCGAAAGCACAGTCAACTAATCTTTTTCATGTTACAGGCGGTGGAAAGAGAGTGACCTAAACTGAATTATCCATACAATACGTGACAAAAGTCTTTTGAAGTAACACCATAGGAAGCTATACCTGTACGGCATATAAGTATGAAAGAAGAAACTGTCAATCAATACAGACAACTGCAGAAGTTGCGATTTGCATCTAAAGGCTTGTTTGAAGTCAATACAATTCTTGACAAAGGTTTTTTGACGAAACAGTATAGTATGTTCTACATGTCCCATCTATTAAAGAGAAACCGTCGAGCTGTACAGGTGAGAAAAGCTATTCAGGAACGTGTTAGGAAGTTATCAGGAAATGACTGAGTCTATGCGATTGGAGACAAGGATCGTATCAAGCAACCCCGTGTAGATACCAGTAAACCTGCGATTGATGAAACCATGAAGGTAGAAAGAGCAGTCCTAAGAGTTTTCCTGTATGCGCACCACACTTTAAAAAACCGGTCACATTTGGAAGGTATACCAACTGTTGATTAATTCTTTATGATCCGGGGAACATCAATGGGTCATAATCATACCTGGCGATTATTGTTCTCATGAAAAATGAATTGTTCGCCACATGCTGCCGGTTTGGCACGCCTGGCACAACAAAAGCCGTGATCGGGCCATGATTAGGGCGGGTAAGAATGGCACAGACGAGCCCCGGAAATTACACCACTCTTCGTCAATAGAGGCCGGCAGTCGGGCCGCAATTCTCCACCTACAGCTTTACATTGGAGGCGATGTTCTTTCAATTTCCCTTTAAATTATTATCGGAGCAGGCGTGCGTCGGGGTGGTTATGCTGGTCACTCAACACCTAGGAGATAGTAGATCTACCTACAAGTCGATATATTGTAAGGAAGAAGCGTGGACTACATTCATTACAAGATGGTTAACTTTTATATGGAGGAGTTGCCGTGAAACACAAAACAACTTACCTACTCTATAATGTAGGTGAGATAATTTGTGTGTGTTTGTCCTTGGTAGGGTAATGCGTAACGTAATTAGCAACGCATCACAACTCATGGGAAGCCATGCAACTACTAATGAATTCTAGTGAATAAGAAAAAAAGGCAAACTACACGTATTAAGTGTGATTTTTATGTAATTTTCAAAGTAATACTTACTTGTAAAACGTCGAGAAAAAGTTCCGCGTGTAGAGCCCGCTGGCGGTCAGATGTGTTAGACACTTGTAGCGTTTGTAACAGGAGCCCTTGTCGTTACAAACTCCCCCGACAAGCCCGGATGAAACCGGTATCGGCCCGGTATCTTTCCCCTGTAAATCCCGTTCGCCCTGTGCTAGTCCTCAGCTGTCGACAGGAGCTGACAGAGGCGCTACAGGTACCGGGGTCTCTGTATGACTGCTGAAGCCGCCCGCCAGCCCGCACGACTGACACCGCCTCGCCACAGCTTAGCGCCTGATAAACCTCCGCGCCTGCGAAAACCTTTGGGTTGGACCATTCTACTTACTGGGGTGGGGAGGGTGGGGCATACATGTAGAACTACCGTACATTTGATAGTTTCTGTATCCTCGAAGATATCATACTATAACAGATCCAGATAATACTCATAAACAATGAGAAAATATGCCATAATTTATAGGAAAGCTACGTTTTATGGAAATAATATTTCCCAGAAAGGAATATGATATCATATCATATCTACAAACCGCTTCAAATTCAATGTACTAGGAGATCCCATCCCTTCTCCTTAAAGATATGTCATCGAAAAGAAAACTGTTTACAATGTCCCTTCCTAACTGCACACCACAGAATCCTTTGCAAGATCATGTAGAACAGATGGCAGTAAAAAGCTACCCGGGCTTCGAACTCCGGCCTTTTAACCACCAAACAAATGCACACCCACACCAAGTTTGAGACAGAGAGAAAGTGGTGGTGTTAGCGTTGCGGGTCGTGTTTAGGCTATTATATCACCACAGGAAAATCTCTCCTTAGTAAGAACTTATCTCCCAGTCCGAGTAGATCAAACACAGCCCTGATAAGGCGCATGGTGCGGGGATCAGGCGGGAGATGAGCTGTGATACCGCCGGACTTACACAGGTGCGACAACCGCCAGCCCTTAAGCCGCCGGGTCGCCCGGATTTTCTACAAGTGTTCGATAGAGTCAGCGTGATCGCATATAAATGGTATCATGTGAGCTCCTTTCTTGTAAGATCTGACGTGACAGTGGACCAGATGCCGGATCTATATCTTTTAGAACATCAACACAGGTATTGAAGTGACGTTGACGCTAGGTTTTTGTTGACAAGAAATGTGTCCTGAAATGTTTATTTCTTCATTAATTGAAAACTACTACATTTAAATTTGTAGAAGGATTGACACAACAGGTGTCTATCACCTGTTCAAGATGTCGACTCTGAGATCGACCAGGCTGCAAGGTTTGAACCACTCACACCGGGGAGGACCTCTGCTCTTTTAGTAAGTGTGGTGGGTTCTTTAAGGCGCTCGAGGTATATATGGCTCTCCTCAAACCCGGGACCTCTGGTGAGTAAATCACAAATACGTCCAGTAAATGTAGTAACGTAGTCCTTGCTTGGAAAGAAATGGTCAAAGTTGTACAAGCTTGATGCCCCTATTCAAGGTTAACTCTACAGGCGCACCCATGCTACAGTCTAGCCTGTGCTATAAATTGTCCAATAGCAGTGGTTCAGGACATTATGATTAAGGTGTGTTGCGCAATCCTTGGTCCGTTACTGTTCGGCTGCGCCAGCCGAATATTTAAAAATGTTTAAAGCATTCGGGTGTGGACGGGAGATTGGGCCATGGTTGGCCGGTGGTTGGCTGGTGTTCGGGAGTAGGTCAGCAATATTTCAGGCGTGTTCAGGGGGCAGATTTGACTCGAATTTACCTCATATTGGATTCAATTCGTATAGAAAGGTAGGTGTGGCCTTAGTCAGACTGCTTCAGAACTTCAACCAACCTTGTTTGCTTGGTGGTCGGGGGAAGGTTCTGAATGTATAACAGGGGCTAGCTAAATTGGGACAGTAATGAAACGGCAAGACTTGAATGTGTCCTGTCAAGACATGATAGATGTAACATGGTTCTGTATTGCTTATCCTTGGTAAACATCTTATTCCAAAGAATGACAAATCAAACCGTAGCGTGATGGAGGCTGACAAATAGAACCGAAGTGTCTTTGTTGTGACCTTGAGGTCACGTCTTTCCGCGCCGATCGGCTGAGCTGTGATTGATGAGGCGGATCAAACCGGACCTAACGGCAGGTAATCAGCTTACGTTGTGGCTCAGGTATCAGGAGAATCAAGACAACTTTACTCAGATTAGTCTTACTTTTACAGTGTCAGATCTGACTAAAGTTTGTAGGAAGCGCACTGCCACTGGCTGAGTTAATTTTTTTTCCACAATCAGCATGATTCTCTATGTCCTTGTTAACATTCATTGTACAAAACTACAACATTTTTAAAAACATATATAGTCTAAAGACTGTTTTATGAGAGTTGATACTGGTGTTTACATGTACATACGTCCACGATGTTCTGACGAAGTCTAATAAACCACAAGACCATGTATGTATATCAAATTATGAAATGTAGCAATTATGCGACCCTTTCTGGTAATACCAAAACCACACAGCATTGTAGATCTAGCTAAAATAGCTTATTCATTACACACGATGACGTATTCGTAAATGTGTGTGCATATATCACTTTTTTTTCAAACTTAACACTTATCCACCAATTTGCTTTCAGCAACCTATTTTGAACAGCTAATATTTTCATCTACAGATATGAAGATACATACATGTAAAACATTTGGCGTGTAGAACTTCACTAAGCCAGTAGGTATATTTGATTAGGCTTGACGCATGCTCCTTTCCTAGTTGACAATGAAGCAACAGTGGAGTTATGATAACTATGACTCGGCTGCTGGCCACAGCTCACAACACCGACGCTCTTATAATTGCCTGGCGTCCGCCGCGCACGGGTGACACTAATTCATTCTACTCGGCCGGAAATGTGAAGAATAATGGAGAATATTTATTATTAATGAGGACATAATCCACCTGTAACACGCGCGCTGGGCAGGGGGGGGGGGGCGCCTGGCACACTTTGTGGCGATATAAAGCATACATTTTAGTGATGAAAAAATAATTTTTGGGTTGTTTTGTTTTGTTAGATGCTGACAGAATAAGTTGTTAAACCTATGTGTATATCTTCTGAATATTTGAATATTGATTGTCTTATTGAATAAAAAACGAGCGTCATATAATAAATGTGTTGCACGCTTCAAAAGCTTTTGTTCGAAACAACTTGCACGCACGCTAAATCATTTTTGCGACAGGACAAAAAAGGGTATGGGTAGGTACAGATGAGTAAATGAGATATGGGAACTAACCGATAATGCTTGAAGAATTAAGTACAGCTATAAATTTGTAATTATGACAGTTTGATGACGAATACAGAAAAGCACATCTGTTAGTGAATACCACACATGTTGAAGTTTCTTAGTCAATATACAGTCAATTCTATATAGTCTAAAGTCAATATACTTGATACAAACACAAAGCTATTACTCGTATTGTATGTTATAGAAAATTTTTTTAACAGTATTACTCAATACAACACATCATCACATTGAAATATCACAGTATCTCTAGATGTTTATTTATAATTCCCCGAAAAATATTTTCATTGTCATGATTTTCATTAATGTATGTATAGTCATTACTTCTTTATAGTCATCATATCATTGATAATTCATTCACACAACGAGCTATAGGCTTCTGACAAAATAGGGAGGATGGAAGATACCATTCCACGACAACTCTAACGTTAGAAGTCCCAAATAACCACACATACGTGTAGCAGTCATTCTGGAATTGAAGCGCCTTGCCGGAATACAGGGATGAGGGTGGCAACATGATAACAATTGTTGTAGTGAGACATACTGTGTTCTATACTTCTCCCAGAATAACCCAGCGAGAACAGAGACTCCAATCACCGGGCAGGCGGAAGATAAACACACAGAGTCTGCTCTATTGACTCTGACGCTCAATGTCCCGTGACTATATCAGGCGGGGCGTCGCGGTGAAATGTCGGCTGGTTGAAGTCCTTCACGCTCCTGTTCTTCACTTCATCACTGTGTACTTGTTAGCTATAGACCTCCTCATTAGTACGGTTCCAGTCATGTGCCAACGCAGGGCTCGAAATTCCTTTTCTGCACACCTGCACAGGTACAAACGTTGAAAATTATCTACACGAAGCAAATTATATCTGTGCCTCATCGACATTATTAAGATAATTTCGTCGTGCTATTTAAGATCCATTTATTTTACTCCAAACACAACTTTTCTTTCCGCCTGTCCGCAATGATCTTTGCGGAAAATTGGTTGCGGTTTTCTCCAATCGTCCCGGCGCGCTGTTCGCCGTTCTCCGTGATTTGTTTCGTGTGTAGAATCCCTCAAACAGCCGACAAACGAGGCTTAACGTATTCAGGATGGAGTCAATGTCAATTGTGCAGGCGGAATGAGCGCGATAACCGCTGGGCGGGCAGAACCCTTATTAAGTCTCGGTGATGTACCGTCTCCGCTGCATTAAGACATTCACCCCAAGTGCGTGCGATACGGACGAGATAGCGACTGATCTCATGGGAGGACATGAATTACGGGATGGAGGAAAAAAGTTCAGAGTGTTAGGAACGTCTGTCACAAGGTGGCGAAGAACAGAGAAATATCAATCTTTCGCTGTCAAGAGCTGGTTTGGCTGGCGGAAGGGCCGGCAGAAGCGTGATTTAGTCAGGCTATCAGAAAATATCTTTATTTTTCATTTTTATTTGACAGATCTCAATTAGTGAGAATCACACCAGTCTTCCCAGAGTCATGATAATTACCGTCCATGACTCATAACGCATTGAATTGTTTTAGTATATAACAAAGTCGTATCAAGAACGTGTCGTGTGCTCCCCCCCCCCTTCTGTCGTTCCCACGTGAAAAACATAAACAAGTACATCTGGACGCCAAAAGACAAACGATGGCAGATTGATAACTCTGCTACGTGTATTATTTTTTCCACGTTATTTTTATTAGATTTTCAAAAACAAGTACAATACACAGACTTGCATGGCACAGGTTTTACAAGAACAGAAACAAACCCATACCAGAAACCAATTCATTAATACTTATTCATATCAATCTAAACATAAAAAAACTGTAACACATAGTAAATGAAAGTTTAGTTAACGAAGTAACTCAAAAGTCTCAATTCCATTACCATGCGTCGAGTCAAAAAGAACAATTTAAGAACAAAATTTTTAAATTTTGTTCTTAAATTACTTTCCCCACTTGCCAATCTACTTATAATGAAGAACATTATCTTAAAATCCCAAACGGAAGTCAAAGAACCACCATCACCAAACTACGAATCAGCTGTCATAAACTCAGCATCGAAACAGGAAGGCACAACCGCACACCTCTGGAGCAAAGAATCTGCCAATTTTGTAGCTCAAACAAAGTAGAAGATGAAGCCCACTTTGTTATTGATTGTAGTTTATATAGTAATGAAAGAAACGATCTTTTTAGATGTATTACTAGTACGTTTCCATACTTCCAATACTTGTCTAATATTGAAAAATTTATCTTTCTTATGCGCTTTGATCATCCTGTATTATACAAACCCATCTCAAATTATATTTTCAACATCACAAAGAAACGAGAAGAAGCCGAACCTCTGTATTAGAGTAGTTTTAGAGCTGTTTTGTAATACAAACATGTATATTACCCATTTCATCTGTTCACCTGTACTTAGCCCGATAGGGCATGAATGTACAATAAAGGTTATTATTATTATTATTATTATTTAAAAATATGTTTGTGTATTTTCCCCCCTCTATTTGCAATTATAAACTCCAATTTGCAAAAATACGCTACGAAAGATATAAAGGAGGATAGTTTAAGAGGGCATTGGCGATTTCTATAAATGTAAATTTTAGTCAAAAGAATAATTAAGTTGGACAATATTGAACAATTGTCGGTTAAATCCCCAAACATAACATTGAAAGCGGTCAGCTGTAGATTCATTCCAGTATGACTTGAGTGGTCCATCTGTTTCCAAAATTCAATTACATATGTACAGTTCCAAAACAAATGGACCACCGTCTCCTCTTCCTCCTTACAATGATCACACATAGGGGAATCAATTAATCCCCAAGTATACAATGTTTTATTTGAGGTTAAAAATTTGTATAATAATTTATATTGAAACATACGTGTCCTTGAATCTATAGAAATTTTTATATTAGGCTATATACCCGTTTCCAATGTATTGGAGTGTTAGAATATTCTTCCCAAGATGATTGGATTTTGTAAGGAGGCTACCATGTTCTAGTGTCGCACATAAAGAAGAATGCGTGTATTATTACTTGCGCTGACAGAAAGGACCGCAAGATGGCATCAATGTACAAGTTTGTATGCATCACCTAGCGCGCATGCAAACCGGTTTCCCAAGGTTTTCACACAAGTTTGCCGTCATATTCTTCTAAGATTACCCGTTTTTATACCCTGTAGTGTGAACTTATATAGTTCATCTCCGTCGGCCATAAGAAACCCATAACGTACTCTGTGCGACAATCGATGTATGGACTATATGGGTGAAGTATGGGTTTCGTTTTCGTTGAACCATGGATGTACCTCTATGGTCAAACCATCCAACTTTCTCCTTTAAAACGTTGATGAAATCCATCAAATTGTGTTGGACTAGCCTCATGATCACGTGTCGTTTTAAAAGCTTGTTGTTGACCATATATGGTAAAATTGTCTCGTCATTGATAGAAATGCCTGGAGGGAGGACACAGTACAATACCTGAACATGAGGTATTCAGACTATTGAGAGACCGCCTAGAGCACCAACAATGGGAAACTGTCAGATTCACGTTTCCCAGGTTGGTCCCGACAAACGTTTTTATCGTTCTTTCTTAAAGGCATCCAATGCAATTTCAGGGCGGCAACACAAATGATATCCCGGATCAGGGAATCTGTCATTTAATGCCATTTTAGCACATTTACGTCATCATGAAACCTGATGCGTTTGAAATAGCCGAAACCAAGCTACGAGAAGAGTCCCTGTATTTTTGGTACCACTACTAAATAGATAGAGAGATATCTTTATTCTGTGGGATAGGCTTGATTCAACTCATCATACAGTATTTTATAACAGTGACCAGAAAATTGACATTGAAAATCCAATTTTATTGCTTCCTTCGGTTCCTTTAAGAATAGCTACATTCATAAGAAGGCGTCCTGAAGTCACAAGTGACTGAATGATTCCCAGACATTACTAATTATCTGCTCTTCTTGTTGTTCACGTCAACAGGCGTCGCGTTGATCCCGATTTAACAACGGTTAACTTGGCACAAAAGATTCATTTATCTTGGTTAACACCCATCGTGGGCGTTGTAGAGAATGCAATGCCAAAATAATACCGTTGTTAAAGGTAGGTTGGGCAGCGTCCTTGTATGGTATCCATGATTAATTTATATATTGGCGTCTGTTAGCGGATAAACTTAGTTAATAGCACCATGCACTATAAATGTAAAGGAATGGGATCACACTCTTTAAAAAGTTATCAAAGTTTTATAACTATCTGCATTTTTCTGGCGAGTGATTAGTCCCAGGTTCCTTCACACGTTTTACAAACAAAGTTGTTAAGTCGTGCATTGATCCTGAAACCTGTTCATGTGTACATTCGTGGCATGGCGTCTGTAAACGAATAAACTTGACTTCACTATGCTCGATAGATGTAAAGGACTGTGATCATTTTCTTAAAAAATTCTCAAGCTGTAGGATGATCTGCATTTTTTGGCGAGTGATTAGTCCCAGCTTCCTTCACACGTTTTGTAACCAAAGTTGTTACGTGGTGCATTTATGCATAAACATTCATGCTCCGGATCTTAAACTTCCACTCTTGCTTGTGCTGGATTCCAGCTGGAACAGAGTCCATAAGTCTTGTGTGGATTACGAGCTTCACAAGGGGGAGTTTCACTTTGTTCATGACATGTATCGAGATTCGATACCTCCCGATATACAGTGGAAGCGTTGTGTTTCGATTTAAAGTAGTTTTCTGAAGAAATTCAAACTCAGTTGGTCTTGTAGCTGAAGGAACATACATATATACTCCCACCCCATAAACATTTCTTTTACGTCCCAGTTTTTCCTGGAAGAGACGGTCGTTAGCCTCGAAAAGACTGACCCGAGATAAACTGAGGCGTGCCCCTAAGATATGTCACAGACGATCAGAGGCAACCCACCCAAATACCTTTCTTTTGTTACCTACGACCTCACCCCAACGCGAAATTTAGATCACGTTGCATTCCTTCACACTAGCTCTATGGTGTCCGTCAGGCGCAGCCAGTGTAGAAACATTAGTAGAAATCAACACGAATAGCGAATTACCTCCACTAGAATGTGCCAGGTTAGAGATGTTCTAATGGTCAGTTTGACCATCCATGGTCTCCTAACTTTTTTTCTAGTTTATCAGCTCTATTTGGACCATAGATTTATAAACTCCGACCATATGTACTTCCAGAGGGCAATAGGCACCGTTTTCTCATTCCCAGGATGCATAGCGCCAGCAGGAGTTTGAATTATGTGTTTCTTTGGTGTTTTACATTAGTTGATGACAGAATCTGAAATAATGAAGGTTGCTCCCTAAATATGTACATACTACAACATCTGTTGCATTATTTCGAGTAATAGTTGTAAATTTTCTACTGACGGACGATATAATGTTACCATTATATAGAGTAAAGTTATGAACCACGTGTTCCATGTTTATACTAGAAAATCACAAGAATTTCACACTCTATTTGTTTCCAGACTCGTACAAGTCACATATTTGTGAACACAAAATACTTCAACACGACAGAAATGCACAGAAAAACAAACTGTATAAATAACATTAACAGTATATCGTAAAATCCCGTTGACGAGCGCCCTCCCGCTATGCATCCTGGGAAAGGCGAAAGGGAAAGTTGAGTGACGTATCGTGCGTTATTCGGAGGTTATAAAAGGCGGGAAAGTCCACGGTTTGCGGCACAGCCGTCCCGACTCCGAACCGTCGTGTGAGAGCGCGCACACCGGCCGAGGGGAGTGCTGCACCCGACACCTGACAACAACTCACCCACACCTGTAAGTTAAGTATCAAGGTACACTTCTCCGTCGTATGTTTGCTTAATTCTATCAATTAAGGCCCTTTTTTAATGGATATCCGCAGAATGTTGTTATGAATGAACTTTTTTACAAGCACGCGTAGTGTGCTAGCCTGGCTACCATTCTCCACACATTCTCCAGATGTTTTACTGGCCTCTGCAGTCTTACTAAGTATAGTCCTTTCCTGATCTATATCATTTCATAATTATTATATTGTCGTCCTGTAATTAGAGAAAAAATTGAACCGACCAGGCAAAACCGCCGGTGGGCGGAAATGGAACTGGGCGGGCGGGCAGGACTCTCAGCACCGTAGAATACCGACGAGCCTACGATGGTCTGGCTACCGGCTAGGCTTGGTCCTGGTTTTCTCGTACATTATGTATATGCATGGTCTCAAACTAGTTCTGTCGAAAAGCTATTTTAAAGGGCGACACTCGTATTTTTGATTTTGCCAACTCAAAAAAAAAGACTTAACACGATAAGTTATGATCGATCAACCGTGGGCATATCGTAGTCTGGCTACCATTCTCCACAGGTCTAGCCTTGCTAGTGATCATTCTCCACAGGTCGTCTTTATATATCAACAGGTGTTTTACCGACCAGAGTCTAGCCTGGTTACAATATCTTTCCAGCTTAGGGGCGTTTTGCTTGCCGCAATCTAGCGAGATCCAGCGAAGTACTACGATCTTTTACTTTGAAATTATGCCTCGGGCTAAAGGTGTGTGCCCACACCATCGACGGGCGAGGACAGGTCGCATAGTTTCTGATGTTCCGGAATAATACCAATGCGCAACAGGCAGAATTTACGGGAACTGTATATCTCCAAGCAGATACTACAGTGACAAAGCAATATCCAATCGGCATGACGAGCCATCGCCATGTCGTAACGGTAGGCAAAAAGCGGATGACGGTTGGCTTATTTGCTTACCGATAATTTGCGTATGTCTTCAAATAATTTGCATCTGTATGATGTAAACAAAAACATCGAGCGCTCGTAATAGTCAAACCCACTCCCTCCCCGCACACTCACAAACACATCTATGTGGCATGATTTTTTCCTTATTCCTTATTCTGCATGTTAGTTGGAATATGCTGTTCTTCACTACAAGCCTGTGGCTCCTGCTGAGCCTCCTGGCGCCCGGGAGTTCCGGGGATGAGTTGGACGGGCCCTATGGGTACGGTGGAGACGCCGAGATGGGTGCCCCCTCCTTCCCCCTGGCCAACGATGTAGGTGAAGCATCTGCAGACGAGATAGAGTCGTTGATGGGAGGCAAGGAGAGCGGGCAAAACCTGCTGGGCCGACTGAACGCCCTACTAGAGAAAAGGGGATATGGACACGGTACGTGTGTCTGTTTGTCTATTTGTGTTTTGTGTATGTCTGTTTATCTATTTGTGTGTGTGTGTGTGTGTGTGTGTGTGTGTGTGTGTGTGTGTGTGTGTGTGTGTGTGTGTGTGTGTGTGTGTGTGTGTGTATGTTTATCTATTTGTCTGTGTGTGTGTGTGTGTGTGTGTGTGTGTGTGTGTGTGTGTGTGTGTGTGTGTGTGTGTGTGTGTGTGTGATTTGCATCTTTCTAGATTGCATGACTTCGGATAATCGGATCATACCGTTACGTACTTATGTCGACGCTCTTTATCATGTCAGCGTTTTGCCCTCTTGTCTTACTTTAATAGGAGGGCACGCGAGCCTGACTGACGTGATAAGCGACCTGTGCCAGGTTACACCGAGACTGGGTAAGGCCTTATAGAGTTCTTCATCTCCAATCTTTGACTGTAAATCCACTAATGTTGCGCTTGAATTCAGTGCTTTGCACCAAAAAAATGTTGTATGTGTATCCATAGTCTTGCCTGAGGCATATAATATAACACATATACGCGGAGAACAGTGACACTGTGAATGACCAGTGATCCTAAACCTAATCCATTCCGGCACAGAACTAGGAAGGCACGCTTCTGGATAGAATAGAAACCTCCTAGTTTGCATGGTGTCTTTATACACGGCCTCCTCGCAATCGAAACGAATAGCCTCTTGTTTCCATAACACGGGAGGTATTTACTTGTACTTTTAGTATGTAACTTCACTAATGCTCGCGGCTTCAAATCATGCATCGTAGAATGTCTTTGAAGACGAGCAGCAAAATATTCTAATGACCCATTAGGGCGAAATCTATCATCCTCTTTTCCCAGGACGAATCTTCGAGGTGCACTCGCCAGCAGGAGGCTACAAGTACGACTTAGACGAAGCGAAACACGCCTGCGAACAGCAGGGCGCGACCCTGGCCTCCTATCACCAGCTGTACGAGGCCTGGCAGGACGGGCTGGAGATGTGCAAGTGTGGGTGGCTGTCGGACGGGACCGCTCGCTACCCCATGCATACAAAGAAGTTGGTATCATATTTGACATACTTGACATACACTCAACAAAAAGCTAGTCTTAACATATTACTCAATTCTGGATATAGTGTTTTGATCAGAATTTTTTACTTAAAAGCTTGTTTCTATAAAAACTGCAACAGTATAACGTAAATTTTATGGCAACTTTAGGCATAAAATATATCCTACGCTGATGTCTGGAATATCTATCCACCAAAAGATTCAGAATTATCTGAACAATACCTGTATTTAAATGATTCATGTATGTTTAAGCAGTTTCACCAGAATGCAATGAACATCTAGTTAGAATGATATAACTATGCAAGATGCCATAGATGCACCCTGATCTCGGAATAGCCGAATATGTAAATTGCACAGCGTCATGTATGCATGGTATGGTGGTGTCTGAAATAACACATTCTGCTAATATTGCATATTGTGGCATGTCCATGATACATACATCCATTCAAATAGTACGTACTAACTTTTTTGTTCTGTTCTGTTCTATTTGTTTGTCACTCCCAGATACCAATGCGGCACAATTGGCATCAACAAGTGTACATGGCAAGCCACGTACGACGCCTGGTGCTTCCGCAAGTTGAGCATCTGTGGCTGAAGCACGGATATCGTATCCAGAAAAGTGCACTCTCTAACATTTGCACAGATAATACACAAAGATACATTAAATTTTGGACGCAATTTTGACCTTTTATTCTGCTTGTAACCAGGGATAGCTTGACCTGGCTGAATGTTTTACTAAATCAGCATTGTACTTAGAAGAACTTTATTGCACAATTGTACGTGGTACAATATATGGTGACAACTATGAGCAGTACAAAACGAGGTATATAATAAAACATGTATAACATACCAATTGCTAAACAAGAAGGGCTAGCATACGTTTTTGAGTTTTGGTACTCGTCGAAGTTCTTTTTTAGTTTCTTAGAACAAAGCAGTCTTTTATATATCTACCTATTTTGCATCTGACAGTTATTTCATATTGGCGATAGCTGTTAATTCTTCATTTAAACAAGGTGCTCTCTGTGTAGTTTAAAATCAGAATCAGAATAAAATACTTCATACCAAACACGTTGTGCCAGTAGAGTCGTTATGGCTGATGTAACAAATTAAAGGTTAACTGCAATCCAACTTCCGATCTGCCAACCCTGGCTATAGTTCTACCAGCAGACCTGCTTGGATCTCAGATGCGAAGGCCTTTTCCAAGAAGTGAGAAGTCGTTGGTATTTGCTATTGATATTGTAGAAGCAGGTAGGATGAAAGGATCACTAAAATTTGGCCTCTACCAGGCTTGGGAAGCGACTGAAAAGAATGGAAATTGGTCAAATAGAGACATAACATGCAGAGGGGATTTCGTCACCTGGAGAATACAGTTGCGGCAAACTATTACGGACCAACTCCCCTAGCATGTAATTTCTCTACTTGACCAATTTCTACTCCTTTCAGTCGCTTCCCCAGCGAAGCCTGGTAGAGGCTAATGGGGCTGTCATAACTGTAATATACGCTAGGAGGCGTGGTGGAGCACTTCCGCTGCGTTTCTGACTGTGACTTTCCGAACCGCCTGCATGGCCGAACTCAGCATAAAGTAAACCAACGTAACAGACTCTTCCTGTTTTCATACACGTGTAGATATGCAACATGACACATGGCAGAGACTAATTACGGTGTTTACATCGTAGCGTCATTTGCGTCAATAAGCCGGGCGCATATTAAATACAATAACGTTAAGGGGTGTAGCATTTCGGGAAATTCTTCCGCTTTAATTCCACATCATGAGCACGTTATTTGTTACCTAACTACGTATATGAGGTACAAACTGACAGCGTTAACAACTCAGAGTTAAAGGTCTGATTAACTCCTGTGTCAACATCCGGCAGCATTCTCAAGGAAGACTTGGATATCTGGCACGGGTTTGATCAACGTGAGTAATCACGATTGGTAGAGCGTAAAGGAAGAATTACTCAAAACAGGTGTTTCCGTCGTCTAAAAGTTATCTTTTACCGCTTGTACCATTCAGTCAAGCACAGATACGCAAAGAAGACAGCTGCAGATGGTAGAAAAGAGAAATCTGCATGGAGAGTAAGATAAGGCACGACGTGTATCAACATACAAGAAACGCCGTGCCCCGTGATTTGTGCTGACTTGGCAGATCGCCAGGGGAAGTCCCACACAAGACTCACCCCGTACGTCAGCCCTTCTAATAAGAACACCAGCTGAGTGTACGCACATCCGGTCAGCTCCTGTATATAAGCCGAATCATCCTCACCTCAGAACACTTCGTTCTCAGAGAAGTTCAGAGATCGATATTTCAGCATGAAGGGTCTGTGCGGACTTGTGGTGGGTTTGCTGCTGGTTACTGAGACTCTGTGCGGGGTACGGGAGGATCTGGACGCTATAAAATGCGTCCGAAGGTACGTAACAGATCGGATTTGGAGTGATATTCGTGTGCTACATATGTGTCTCACATACCGCTACTTTGTAATCCAAAGGCAAAGTCCAAAGTTGATTTTATTGTCAATGTGCCTTTTTTTATAGTCGTTGTTTTTGGTTTTCCTGAAAGTAATTGAGATATGGTATTTTACAGACGGTCGCTGGATGGCGTGCTCGGACGGTCCAAGAGATGCGCTGGTGGTAGCGGCGGTGGAGGCGGCATCGGTATTAAAGTGCCTCTTTCTTGAAAGATACTATGCAATATAAACCAGCTGTTTTCTTAGCTATACGTTACGAATGTTCGAGACATAAACGGTGTGGTGCTTCATAGCAAACGCCTGGTAAGCAAGGCTATATGAGGCACTGTTTCTTCACCCTGAAGCCTAGTGAAGGGGCGTTGCTTTCCTTGCATTGTAATGTTTACACATGCGGGTACATGCATATCTGCGGAGCTCTAATGCAGTTTCTGTATTTTCTGCCAGAGCGCTTTCTGTGTGTTTTGATGAGGGACTGAGGTTTGACACATCTGATTGTCTTGTGCAAACTTTTCTGACACGTACAGAAAGGATAACGGTGATAGGACAGCCGATCCATGACCCGTTCATCGGCGTCATCTCGGACCCCGGCGCTATCCGGGACTTTCTCGACAATTTTGGCGGGAACGGAGGCGGACTGGACCATGGTGAGGGAGGAGGGGGAGGCCCAGCTGAGCAACAGCAGGATCAAGGTCAGTAATAACGTCAACACATGATCACACTACATTACTGATACGCACTACATAAAAAATGTTAAAATTCTCACCATTCCTTCGTCACAGCAACTTCAGACAGTTGAAGATTTAGAATTACCGATCTTGTTACTGTAGGAAACGCAAGTATTGTTTTGGGGTGCACGTGGCTGAGTTGTGAGTTTGTGGGTCTGCTTGTCTAGCTGGACAGATTTAGGTTGACAGCACGTGGGTGGGGAAGATTGGCAGGCACAGGAAAGCAGGGCTCTGGCGGGAGCCAGCAGGCGAACATGGGGGGATTTGGGAAACCGAGGACTGAACGACGGACCTTTCAAATCTGCTCGGAAGTCTGAAATCTTCAAATAATTGTTTTCTTTTCCAGATTGTTTCGGGGACGTGGATAAAGTTGACACCACCGGAGCTTCACAGGCAACGGCGGGACAAGACGGACTGTCTACCACAGGTGAATGTACATCCAATGTATTGTTGGCTTCTTCTGTACATCCAGTGTACACGACAAAAATCCATGCATGAATTAAGTTTTTTTCTATCATTTGTTCTCCTCTTTTACCAAATCTCAAGTTTTTATCTTTTATTTTCTTAGGTGTTGATGCTTCCAATGCGCTTGCGCAGAATGATTTAAACCGTCTGAACCAGTACAAGAATCAGATCAACGCCGTCTCCAAGGCAACGGGTATGGACGCCGCCATCATTGCTGCCATCATCTCGCGAGAGTCACGTGCCGGCAACGCCCTGCAGAACGGATATGGTGACCATGGCAACGGTTTTGGGCTCATGCAGGTACCAAAGTTATTCCGTAAACTGGAAGTGGTACAGATGATAGGACAGGTTGTCAACGAAATGGAAATTGAATAAAATGCTTTCTAACACAAGGACAACATTAGCTTAGAATCTCCGAAATAAAGAAACATTTATAAACAGGAAATCAGAGATTCTAGACTACCGCAAAGTATTTTGATAACCGAGGCGCAATTCCATTGGGGCTAGGACAGAAACTGTGCAGAGTTGGAGAGTCTCTCATACAATTTTCGGCTTCCTGAAGTCCCCCATGTCGACCTCCCATTCCGGCTGCCTCCTGGCTAGAGCCATTCTAGCTAGAGCCTTTTTCTGTGTGTGTAGATCAATCGCAACTGCCATTCTACAAACCCACATCTCAGACCTAAAGCAATAATTCCGTACCCGGTCAGGGCAATGACTATCTGTTTCTTGTGTTCCTTCAGATTGACCGTCGTTACCACAACACCCAAGGCGCCTGGGACAGCACGGAACATCTGACCCAGGCTGTCGGCATCCTTCAGGGCTTCATCCAGGGCGTCAGCAACTGTCACCCCTCGTGGAACAGCGAGGAGGTGCTGAAAGGTAATCTAATGTTTCTTTGTCTCCGTAGTTCCTTTTGGGTACGAAAATATTGTTTTGGGTGGCAATGCTGTGGGTTTGTGTGTATTCTGTGTATATCCCGACAAAGTAGGTTGACACTACGTGGGTGGGAAAGATTGACCGACATAATGCCAGGGGTCAAAAAGTCTGACACGGGAAATTGCTCTGCAATGGGGCCAGCAGGAAGTAGGGGTCGATATGCGGTGAGTAGGGGGTTGATTTAGGAAGCCGAGGATTGCACGAGAGACGTTTTGATACTTTCCGGACGACAGGAATTTTCGGTATCTTAACTTGTTGTGTAATTGTGCACGTGTGTAATTTCAGAGAAGACACGCGTTTGGGCTCACTTCGTTCCACTAAGGAGCTTGGTTCCACCTTCAGTTTCTTCTGTGTACATCCCGACAAAGTATCCATGTCTGGTCACTTGCAGACGTCACTTGCACTTGTCCAACCTTTTTGTTCGATTTGATCTTTAATGCAATGAGTTAGCTGAACGTTTATAATGTTTGTTATTAAAAACACCCACCGCTAGAAAAACACATAAAAAATATGAGCTATAAAAGATGTGCGAAGACGATGTATTGTTGGGTCTGCCCTTGGTGCTGAACCGCATTCGCGGTCAACAAAAGTATAATACATTCTTTTTGCTCGAGCACAGCTACATTAGATGTATAAACCTTTAGCTCCGTATTTTCCCTACATCAATTGTGACGTGTATATAGTTGTAGGTGAACGAAATGTGTTTCCCGATTCCAGGCGGGATCTCTGCCTACAACGCGGGGGTTGGGAACGTGCGCAGCTACGACCGGATGGACGTGGGAACGACGGGGAACGACTACGCCAATGACGTCATCGCACGAGCCAAGTACCTGAAGAGTAAAGGGTTCGGTGATCCCAAGGATCAGGAGTGCCAAGGTTAGAAAGGTTTTCGGTCGCTAGCTCCGGTCCCTAGCTCCGGTGCTGCCCATGACACGGATTAGCTCAGTCCCCTCTTGAGGATAATACCCTGGCTACAAAGTCAAAAGATATTTTGAATAGATTTTTAAAGTTCCAAAAGCTAACGTTCATTATGATGATATCAAGACCAATGAATTCTTGACACCTCTAAAGATAATGTTCGTGAATATAATACCCAGGCTATGAAATAAAGAATCTTGAATAGACTTTTAAAGTTCCAAAAGCTAACGTTGAGGGTCATTCCTCTCCAGGCGGTTCCAACAGAAGGCGTCGGTCCTCCGGCTGCCCGTACAGCTGGTACAACCCCCTGGAACGCCCGCCCAGCTCCTCCGGGTCCCTGCAGTCCGGCGGCGGCGTGTTGCCCGCCGCAAATTTCCGTCTCGTAAACGGTCGTCGCCTTTCCGAACGGTCGTCGCCTTTTCTCAGAACGGTCGTCGCCTTTCGGAGCGGTCGTCGCCATTTCCGAGCGACCGAACTTCAGTTCCGAATATCCGCGGCATGTTCGGGACTTCCCGGAGTTCTTGGAATGTGTGAATCGCACTCAGTCCATAACATGGCGACCGTAGGCGGGCCAGAAAAGTAACTTGTCTCCTCAACTGCTGATTTTATAAGATCAGCATACGATCCTAGGCCTGGATCTTCTCCAGCCTATTCTTGTTTCCCTTCGCCAGCAAACTGAAGAAGGGTTCATATAATGCCGTTTATACAAATGACAAATGAATCTTCAACCAAAAACAAACATAGATTCCGTCCCTG